CCGCCGAGGCTGCGCCTCGGCGGCCCTCCCGCCCCGGGGCTGCCGCCGGCGCTCGGCGCCTTCGCCCTCAAAATGCCGCTCCCCGGGCCGGGGGAGGGCGCCCGGGAGCGCCGGGGGTGTTCCAGGCGGGTCAGCGTGTGTGTGTGAGAGAGCGCGCGCGGGGAGGCGCCATGTTGTAGGCCGCGGCCGCTCGCCCCCGGTTATCCCGGGGAGCGGGATGCCGGCGGTCACCTGTTAGCGTCGCCGGTGGTGGGTGAGGAGGGGCTGTCGGGTTTAGGTTTGCATAAATATTACACCGGGGAGTTAGGTTTTCCCTTATCTGTGTTAAGGATGCGGTGATTGAAACCGTGCGTGCTCTTTCTTGGGTAAAGCCGGTGCGGAATCGCGGTCGGGAGGTAACCTGAGTGCGAAAACGCTGCTCTCCTCTTTCCTTCTGTGGAAATAAGATACGTGCGCACCCTTATTTCGTGTTCTGTCACTTTTTGGGGGGTGTCTGTGTCTACCTACCTGTTGAAAACTCACCTCTCGCATAAAACATACCGAGGCAAACAGAAATAATTAATTTCACTTGCCTTTTCCTTTTTTTTTTCCTAAGTGGCTCACTGGAGGATGTGGAAAATCATTGCTGAGGGTTTTAATGACAAAACTGGATTGTTTTCTGGTTTGATGATTCCGTGCTTCATGTAACCCGCTGCTGGGTTGTGGGAGGTCCCCGTATTGCTAATGCTGGTGCTTATCTTGATGTATACAGGTACCCCGTGGGTTTACAGATGCATTTTGCAAGGTTGGAGGCTAGTGCTTTCCCATAGTAATGGAGTGCTTAACTGAGAAATGTTTTGGGTTTTTATTTTTTGTTTCATAACAGATTAAAAATGCTTGGAAGAGTCGAGTCTGTTTCAAAGTCAACATTTCTCTTTTCAGTTAAAGCCCATAGAAAGTTCCCAAAGAATGAGTCACACAGCTGGTTTCCCAGCAAGAACAAGGAAGACAAGGTTCAACAATTTTTTTTATTTTATGAAGGTTAAAAAAAAAAAAAAGGAGAAAAGTTGCAGAAACATTTTTAGGTTTTTTTTCCCCTTAATGAAAACCGTACGCTTATTCTCTAAAAACAGTAAACTCAAATCACTATAACCCTCTCACTGTTTTAAAGAAATGACTTGTTGCCATTTGAAAAGTACTGTAGATATCTTTGAAACCTGTGGAGCAAGCATAAAGTGGAAGAGCATTTTGCTTTTTTCTTTCTAATGGATAACCAAAAAGGAAGCAGTGTTTGTACAAACGTAGGTTTGAACTATGTACATGTTTCATTTTTTGGCTATGGTTAGTCCTGTTGAAATTGGGACAGGGGATAGCATATATGAGTAAAATTAATCATGTGTATGGGGTTTGCGGTTCCTACTGAATTGACACTGTGAAGGCTACCAGGATAGACCTAGGGACTAGACAGGCCCTGGAGGCTTCCTTCTGCAATTATGTACTTTCTGAAGGGAACATAGGGAGTTTTGGTCTCGTATCTGCTGTTGGTGGTTAGTAGCATTCTTTGGGGTTTCCTCAACTAAGACGTGCTTTGCTGCAGTGTACAAAGGCTGCTTTCAGGATCAAAGTTTGATTGTGTTAAACGCTGCACAAGCATATAGTAATGCATGATATCTGCTACAAGAGCACAGAATACACGTCTTGTCAATGTATTGCGTTTATTAAAATGTGGGATTACTCAGCTGAGGAACGGTAAAGGGTTTCCATTTTCTCACGGTTAGCTAGCTGCTTGGGTGTATGGCTTGCATGATTGTCCTTTGCTTACTGACAAACTACCAGAGCCTCTGATAGTCAAGTGGTATCAAAGCTGGGTTACTGGTGAAACTGGTGTCAGAGTTCAATAGTCTGAGAAAGTTCTTTTTGATGTTCCACCCAAGGAGGGTTTAATGCTTTAATACCAAGTTTCCTTATTGGAAGATATTTGATGTTACACAGCATTCTAATTTAGCCTAGTGATACAGCAATCTCCTGAAATCATAACACAAGCCTAACGCAGCAGCTGCAATGCACAGTTGAACCACAAGACAAGCAGCATGCCCATTACCAGTCCCTGTATGCTCGCTGTCACGATGCTGGGCGTCCCCAGTTGCCCGGGAGGAATAGGTGGCTGGGAGCCAGCTCAAGCCCCTTGCTCTCTTCAAAATTTGTTTCTCGTTGGTTGCTCAGTTTTGGTGCTCTGTGTTGGGCTGAGCTTCCCCCATGCTGGTCTGGCTGTCTCAGGAGGATAGTACTTTCTATTGATTGTTTTAGGGAAGACAATTCATGCAGCCAGTTGTCCCGCTCTGCTGATAGAGCCATTTCTCTAAAACAAAGGCCACCCTCTGGTCCCCTTTGTGTTGAGAGAAGTTTAGCTTACTTTAAAACAGCTGTGGCCACTGACTGTGTTCTTCTCTGAGCTTCATGGGCACATGCCTGTCTTCCCTGAGCCTTCTTCCATTGTGGGGGTTCGGGGTTGATTGATCATTCACAACTGGAAAGCCAGAGATGATGCAAATACAAAAGATTGGCTATCCAGTTCATAAAAAGGTTTTGGGTGAGGTTGTTTGGTTTTTTTAGGGGGGGGGGGTTAAGCATTGACTCTTTGCAGTTTTTACTCTACTTGCTCAATAGTAATGAGGTTACTTAATTAAAATCTCTGCAAACAAACTGGATTTCACTCTTGAATGTGATACAGGCCTGGAAATAAGAGGATGAAAGTGACTCTCTGGTTTATGGAAGGTACATGTTGATGTCATGCAGCTGAAAATGAGGCTAATGTTGCTGCTTTGACCAGAACATCCTCTTAAAGAGGTGCCTGGTTTATGAACGTGGTCACTGCTACATGTGGAATGGTTTAGTTTACAGTCCTTAGCTGTTGATTGCTGCCCTCCAGTAAGGTGATCACTGTCACATTCAGTGATGTGTGCATGATCCCACGTAGTGTATTAGTCAATAGGCCAATTTAGTAACAAAGTGTTCTGTGTTCAGATGTCTTGGCTTTGTGTGGCAAGGTTTTGGTAGCAGGGGGGGGAAGGGTTACAGGGGTGGCTTCTGTGAGAGGCTGCTAGAAGCTTCCCCTGTGTCCGACAGAGCCCATACCAGCCGGCTCTAAGATGGACCTGCCGCCGGCCAAGGCCGAGCCAATCAGCGATAGTGGTAGCGCCTCTGTGATGATGTATTTAAGAAGGAAAAAAAGTTGCTGGGACACACAGAAATGGCAGCCAGAGAGAGGAGCGAGAACATGTAAGAGAAACAGCCTTGCAGACCCCCAGGTCAGTGAAGAAGGAGGGGGAGGAGGTGCTTCAGGCGCTGGAGCAGAGATTCCCCTGCAGCCCGTGGGGAAGACCATGGTGAGGCAGGCTGTCCCCCTGCAGCCCAGGGAGGTCCACAGTGGAGCAGATATCCACCTGCAGCCCCAGGGAGGACCCCATGCTGGAGCAGGTGGGCGACCCCATGGAAAGCCCACGCTGGAGCGGGCTCCTGGCAGGACCTGCAGATCTGTGGAGAGAGGAGCCCACACTGGAGCAGGTTTTCTGGCAGGACTTGTGACCCCGTGGGGGACCCACGCTGGAACAGTGTGCTCCTGAAGGACTGCATGCCGTGGAAGGGACCCATGCTGGAGCAGTTTGTGAAGAACTGCAGCCTGTGGGAAGGACCCAGGTTGGAGAAGTTCGTGGAGGACTGTCTGCCGTGGGAGAGACCCCACGGTGGAGCAGGGGACGAGTGAGGAGTCCTCCCCCTGAGGAGGATGAAGTGGCAGAGATAACGTGTGATGAACTGACCGTAAACCCCATTCCCCGTCCCCCTGTGCTGCAGGGGGGGGTGGTAGAGAATCCGGGAGTGAAGTTGTGCCTGGGAAGAAGGGAGGGATGGAGAGAAGGTGTTTTGAGATTTGGTTTTATTTCTCATGACCCTACTCTGGTTGATTGGGAATAAATTGAGTTAATTTTCCCCAAGCTGAGTCTGTTTTGCCCATGATGGTAATTGGTGAGTGATCTCTCCTGTCCTTATCTCGACCCATGATCCCTTTATTATATTTTCTCTCCCCTGTCCAGCTGAGGAGGGGGGGGAGTGATAGAATGGCTTTGGTGGGCACCTGGCATCCAGCCAGGGTTAACCCGCCACATCAGAGTATGTCGGTTTTCTTTGAGAAGCTTCTGCCATCCAAGGTGTTAATTCTCCTCCTTATCTCTTTTTCTCAAGGTTTGGACATCTAAGTGTGGCTCACATCTTGCTGGAGAATGGTGCTGATCTCAATGCACAGAATAAATTAGGAGCCAGTGTCCTCACAATGGCCTCCAGAGGTGGCCACGTCAGCATGGTGAAATTGTTGCTGGAATCTGGAGCTTTTGTAGACAATTATGACCATTTTAGCACAAGTATGCTCAACAGCAGCAGAGACGACCTTCCCGATATCACTCCACTAATGGCAGCTGCTCAGCATGGACATGAGGCAGTGGTACATCTGTTATT